CTGTCTATCCTGATACCTATGTTTGCCCCATTCCCATGCCAACGAGACCACACACACTGATACTATCATACTACCATCTTCACCTGAATAGAACGCCTGGTCATTATAACCGTATTTGGCACAACTTTCGTTCCAGATGCAGCGATGATGACCGGGCGTTCTCTTCGGATGAAGATGGTAGGGCTCTCATGGGTGCATCTGGCCTCATTCTGTGGTTTGAGGCCAGCTGTCACTGAACTGAGGACATATACTCAGGCGGGGGCTCTCCTGGAGTGACGTATGTGACCTGGAGCGTGGGTGGAATTCATTCAATCCAACTACCAAGGAGTAATAAAACAAGCAATGCAGACATATGCACACTTGGGGGCCCACACCACGGCGTACAACAGCCATGCATTGCTGGGAGCAATACCCTATCTGTGTGTGTTTGAAACTTTGAATGGGAACGATTATACTGCATGAATTGCATTCTTTAAGTTATATAGATTATCTTTTTATATTAGATTATTAGATTCTTTTTTTTATTTTGAATTATAAATATTCATTAGAAAGATCAAATTAAAACATGCTCACAGCGCGGCAGGTTGTGCCAAAGCGTACGTCAAGTAAACGAGACTCGAAAAGGAGCTTTCAGGTCGGTATGCCAAAAAAGGAAGAACTGCAAACATGTAGTAAAGTCCACAGAGCACAGAAGAAAAAGAAAAAGGGAGAAAACTCAGAAAAGTACATATACAAAACTGCGAAAAAGAATAACGAGACGAAAAATAACAACAACAGAAGGTTACAGACTGTTTCATTGGACTTGCAGCCACTCCTCGGGAGCCTGAACCCACTACAATCTGCAGAATCCCGATACTGATTCTTCGAGTCACGGAGTCGTCCAACCCATGCAGGCAACGCCACAAGATGAACACAGCAGCTGACGGGGCAGCCCAACTACACAGGACAAAACCTAACTGCATGCAACGGCAGCGCAAGTGGACAAGCAGCAAGGCAACAACACAACGAAGCAAGAAGCAGCACTGCACTGACAAAAGCAGCCAAACTACATGGCCCACAAGCAGAGCGCATGGAAAGACAAGGCGCACGGATGGGTAGATCTAGGCATGCCTCGTGTACAAAAAACTTCATACTCTGTACATACGTGGTACTCCCTTGTATGAACGTTGTGCTCCGTGTTGTGCTCCGTGTTGTACTCCGTCGTACTCTACCCGAAGCAACCACTTTTGTAAAAAAGAAAAAAAAGGGTTATCAGAAAATTCTGAAAAAAAAAGTGAGAGGAAAAAAAAAATTCTGAACAACCTTTGCCTAACACAAAAAGTGAAATTCGCAACCAGTTTGAGATAAAAATCAAAAGCGTAAAAAAAAAAAAAAAAAAAAAAAAGCTGTTTCGTACGCACGTACAAACACGTCCAAAAGAAAAATCATGCCTAGTACGGGGGCGTACTACGCATGGCCGCATACATCCCATACAAAGGGATGCCCAGGGGTAGATAGGCACCAATGCAGTGAGGCACAAAGCAAGACGGACAAGGTAACCATACCACGGAAAACAGACAAGCTGCAGGCCAAAGCATGGCAAGTGGGTGGCCAATAAGGCAGTGCAAGAGCGCATACAAGGCAGTCCTCACATCGAACACACATCACATGTATATAAAAAAAGTACTATAGAAAATGTTTCCATACCTCAGCAATTTTTTTTGTTTATATGTTTTACCCAATTCACTCTTTATGTGGTTGTTTGAATCAATTAACTTAGATTCATTGACTTCAGTCAATGACAATGAGTAACTGTCTTGACGCCAGCTTTGGCTTGACTCAGGCTCGCCATAGGTCAGATGCAAGAGGCGAACGGAATCCATCACCTACTCACACAACTAGAACCCTGGGGACTGTTCGTTCCCACCAACCTCTGTGCCAAGAAGCCACTCCAACGAACTTCTGTCATCTCCCATGGGACTTGCACTACAGACAATTCTGAAGCGAGCATCCCCCCCCCCCTATTAGCGTTCCAGGCACTCCAAACAACTAACTACCGACTGTTTGGCACATCTTGAAGGTGCTCACTTCGGCGCACATCCCCCCCCCCTATTAGTGTTCCAGGCACTCCAAACAACTAACAACCGACTGTTTGGCACATCTTCAAGGTGCTCACTTCGGCGCACATCCCCCCCCCTTATTAGTGTTCCAGGCACTCCAAACAATTAACTACCGACTGTTCGGCACATCTTAAGGTGCTCACTTTGGCGCACATACAGTACAAACCAAAAAAGAGGCGAAAACAAACATGAAACTAATTGTGTGCGAGTATTAAAGGCTCTTTTGTACACATGACAGCAGGATTTGATGTCCCATTGTGGGGGCCATCAGAGGGACGTTTGCTATCCCTTGTTGGGATGACAGGGCAGATTTCTGTGCCTTGCATCTATAGTCTAGATGCTTCGGTTCCATGATCTTTGCATGTATAACTCCTTCCTCATGTGTCGGTGATTTCAAAGGTAGTATGCGCAGACATGGTAACCCAAAACTGTGTAGTGGAAGGTGAGTTATATACCCTCTGATGAAAAGAAAAAACACTGCATACAGGAACAAAGTTCAGAAAACAGCATAGATAAAAAAAAATATTGAAGTTCTTTTCTTTTTTTTTTTTTTTTTTTTTGTGGCACCATCCTGGAGCGAATGAATCCCACTCTGCCATCGATGCTCTCCTCATCAACGCAATGACGGGCAAAGACTCCCCCAAAGAAAGTGAATAGTCACAAGTCTTCAACTTTTTGCTAGCCATGTAAAAATCCCTGCAGTCTTGTCAATTTACTAATTTAGTGAATTAGTTTCGAACTTGGAGATGATCTATGGATTGACCAAAGTTCAACCGTCTCGACGCAGCTCGATACTACTATCAAATTTTCCAACTTCAAATTTGAAATTTGAAATTTCTCAACCAGCATGTCACCATGGTCCTTCAGGAATTGAATACGTCGAATCGCACCTGTGTTATTAATACTTGTTATTTATTGCTTTAATTTGTCAACTGTGTCAATTCTAAATAGTAAATAGAAAATAGTGTTGTGGACCGAAATTTCAATTTTCAAATTTGAATTTGAATTTGAATTCGAATTGCAAAGTCTTTTTTTTTTCTTTTTTTTTTTTTAAAGCAGTGTTCTCGATAAAATATGGATCGACTCAGTGCAGTGAATGTCTCAAATTATCAGTAGTAAGGATTGAAGTTATCTTTCACAGCAGATTTACGCCGTCCAGGGACAATCCCTTCTGCCATCAGTGATTCCTGCAGGGGAAAACGACAAAAAAAAAAAAAAAAACACAAAGGTTGGTCCAGTTTTTTTTTTTTTTCTGCAAAGTTGGAAGAAATGAAATAGATTGAACTTGTCAGAGTGAAAATGAAGAAAATGAATGAATGAATTGAGTTAAAAAAAAAAAAAAAATCTCAGTGCAGGAACAGGTGAAATTTACTTAAAAGTTAAAAGCCTTGGGGCTACCAGAGTGGCCCGGGCCCACCTGCCCGGTCAGGGGAGAGGAACGAATAATAAAAAATAAAATTAAAATTAAAATAATGATTTTTTTTTTTTTTCAATTTGATAAGGAATTTCGATTTGACCCTGATGCAAAAGTTGTTCAGTTTCTTCTTCTGCAGGGTTTTTTTAAACCTTTTTTTTTTTTTTTTGGCCAGGGACCTTCCCTGCTCCTTGCCCGCCCAGGCACCAAGGTGAAACCTAGGCGGCCCTGTTCGTAGCCCAGCTTTATAAACAAACATATAAAATTTAAAATTTCACTTGTAATGGCCAAGGTCCACCTCTCAATCTCCTCGTACAGGAGACGAGAGTTACCGAAGGTGAGAGACGACGATCAAATCTGACACACATGGTTGAAGAGGTTGATTTGTTTTTTTTGTTCCGCAGAGTCTTAAGACGATCCGAAGAGTTGGCATGCGTAAAACTCATAAAAAGTTGAAAAGTTAAAAACATCTGCCTTTCCAGGGAGGAGGGGGAGGCATGGGGGGCAGGGCCAAGGGTGCTAGGGGGGGTACATTTCGTCCCTAAAAAAAACGATGAAAAATTTATGAAAAGGAGTGACTACAGATCTCATGACTGAGCAGAGTCCACACGTTCCACATCAGTCTACATTTTCCCTTCTTTTTTTTTTTTTCTTTTTTTTTTTTCCTGCAACAATGATGAGCAATCTCCATCCCCCAGGAGGAGCATTGTCCTACTAGCGCCATAAAGAGGGGGGTATGTTCAATCCAGTGTGATATTGGGTGGCAGCCTTTCTCGTGACATCTGGGAATGAATCATTATTTTTATTTTGGTTGGCACCTTTCTCGTGACATCTGGGCTCCATTACGAATTTTTGGTCAAACACGAGAAAGGTGCCAACCAAAAAAAAAAGGTAAAAAAGAAATAGAGACCTCATGCCCAGAAATAACGGAGCAGTGTTTCTCAGCCATCAGATCACAAATGATCTGATGGCATAAATTGCCATTACAACAGCGAAAAAAAAATAACTAACTGCCACTTCTTTTCTGAACAAGAAACGAAACTTCTGCCAGTGGTGACCGTGCCGCCATCGATACAGTGTGCCGTGATTGAAGGCGGGCTTCAGCCACTGAAAATCTTCTAGCCCATGACCTGCCTCTAGTTGGGGTTGGGCATACGCCAGTGGGATAGAACCTACAGTCTTCCCCCGAATACAACGTACGGTCGTTACAGCTGAATTTAGACTGACAGATATCCCAAATTCAGTTATAATGACTGTGCGTTGTATTCGGGGGAAGACTAGGCTTACAGAGTGGCACAGGACTACTTGCCCGGTCGGCCAGGGTATATAATATATATATGACCCCTCAACAGCCTGCAGAATCCCCTAATCATCCACCTTAACCCCGGTTGTGGTTAAGCGTCAACGACTGCAATCACAACTGATACCCCTCTGAGGTGGTGGGGACCACCAACCACTGCCCTCCAGGTACTGATGAAGCATGATTTCCATCATCGGTACCTTGAGGGAAGTGGTTGGTGCCCACTTCAGGGTATCAGTTGTCGGGCAGTCGTTGATGCATGATTTTCGTCATAGGTACCTTGAGGGCAGTGGTTGGTGGTCCCCACCACCTCAGAGGGGTATCAGTTGTGATTGCAGTCGTTGGTGCTTAACCACAGCCGTGGTTAAGGTGGATTATCACTTACAGTGCAATCATTTAGGGGATTCTGCAGACTGTTCAGAGTTCAGCCTCCTGATGAGTCAGTCGGTGAAACTCCGACGAAACAGTTTGTCCCAGCCCCTCATTTCTTTGGCAAAGAATTTCGACGTGCCCCTGAGGCAAAAGTTGTTCAGTTTATCTTACTGCACAACAAAGTTTTCTTTTTCGGATTTTTGTTTCCCTTTTTTGCTGGGACCTTCCCTGGCCCTTGTACGGCCAGGGCACCCATGGAACCAAGGTGGCCGAGGCCGTCCAGCTGGTAGCCCAGGGATAGAGCAAAACATTTTGGTGGGAAGCTCCCTTTGCACGCTCATGCCCAGTGTTAAGGAGAGGAGGCGGCGAAGAACTAAGATCTCTTTCATTTTCCAGGGGGGGAACAAAAAAAAAAAAAAGCGTGGCATCACGACCCCCAGGGAAGATCTGGGCTGCTCTACTGCCACACAAACTATTCTTTATCCTAGCCCGTCGCAAATGTGATGTCCCTCCAGGGTCTACCTTTTAAAATTTTAAAGTCATTATTAAATTACTATGTTTTAAAACTTTTAATTTACATCACTGGTGTCACACACAAATCACCCATGACCACGCAGAATTCAATCATTTAAATGTTTAAAGCTGACTAACCCCTTCTCCTCCCCCCCCCCTTGAAAACTAGCAAGAAACAAAATGGAACTGTCAGAGGTGCCAAATACGGTAGCATTCACTGACCGCTACAGCCCACTCCTACCTCGATCAGTTAGCCTTGTTGTGTCTGGATCATCTCCAGAACAACAGGCATAAACAAAGAGAGAATCAATCAAACCAAACACTTTGTGTGTGTGTGTGTGTGTGTGTGTGTGTGTGTGTGTGTGTGTGTGTGTGTGTGTGTGTGTGTGTGTGTGTGTGTG